CCTCCTCCTCCTCCTCCTCCTCCTCCATCCTCGAGCCTCCTCCTCCTCCTTCTCCTCGATTCTCGGAGCTATTTGAGGCTCGCGACGAGCCTCACAAGCCAGAGCCTCGACGAAGCGGCAGCGCGCTTTTCCTGCGGTCTCGCCCCTGGCGAAGGCCCGCCGCCGGGCGGATCGCAGGCCCAGCCGCGATCGCCAGCGCTCGCCCGTCGTCGTCGTCGGCTGCCGCGGCGTCGGTCGGCGCCTCCGAGCGGGTATTCTTTGGGGGCTGTTGGGTGCCGATTGGGGCGAATCTGTTGCGCCATCGCGGCAGCGGACCCTGGCCTAGCTTCGTTTTGGCTTCCTTTCCTGTCGGCCCGAGGTGAGCAAGACGGAAATTCAAGGACCCCAGGGGCGACGCGCGCACCGAGAAATCTTACAGTACATCGTATAAGCGTCGTGGCGGGCGCTTTCTGGCCACACCTCTCGTGCAACGATGTACTACAAGATGGGCATACCATATGTTCGGGTCGGGCGCGCGCCTCCAAGGATGACATGTAGTATAACTATGTTTCCGCGAGTCCCACGGTGGCCTTCTTGGGCCGTCCCGGACGTCTTCTCGGAGAGCCTTTGGAGGTTGCCGGGGAGGCGGCCGCCGCCACCGCTCTGCGGCCCGCCACTGCGTCGCCCCTGGCGAGGGCTCGCCGCCGGGCGGCTCGAAGGCCCAGGATAGCCCGGCGCTCGCCGCCGCCGTCGTCGTCGTCGTCGGCGTCGGCGTCGTGGGCGTCGGCGGCGGCGGCGGCGGCGGCAGCGGTGGTGACGTCGGTCGGTCACACGCAAGAGAGTTGCCCCTCCCTGAGATCCTGGCGTCGCATGTTTCTTTACACCGAAGGGTGTCACTCTATCACTCTAGCTCTGGACCCTCGCAGGTCGATCGGGCTGGAGATCTGCCGCAGAAAGATCGGGCATAAGGCTCGGGTTGCGATTTCCTGCGCTGTTGCACTTTCTCCGTGACCGCGGATCTCAGGCCTGGTTGTCGGAAAAACATGTGGTGTATGTCTTGCGAGTGGTCTCGTGGGCCCAGGACCTCCCAAGTGGGGCCAGAGCAGGTAAAGTTGTTGGCCGCGCCGCATCGCCGATGCGTCGGCGATGCGGCTCGATCTGGAGTCCGATGTTCTCCGTCCCGGCGTCGCCTGTGCATCGTCGATGCATCGGCAACGCGGTGGCTCAGAAGCTGGTCGTCGGCTGTCAAACCCGTGGCTGCTAAAACGGAGTTCCAGGAAATTGTGTTTCGTTATTCCGAGAAGCAGCCCGTTGTCTATTTAGTGCGCTGAGATTGATTCTGGGGATCTGTTTTGTTCTTCCAGGAAGACAATTTTGGCAGCCACGGATTTGCCAGCCCTCGCCCAGCTTCCAAGTGGTATCCTTCAGCCCCGTCTTCTCCTGGCCCCCCTCTGGGGAGAGGCCTTTTGGGGGGGGAAGCCGGACACGCAGGCCGCCACTGTCGCATCGCACGGAACGATCGGCACGTTGCCCACGTCTCCTCCTTCCGTCCTCCTCCCTCCTCCCTCCTCCCTCCTCCACAATTACTCAATATGAATACTACTCTCCCTCTTCCCCTGATGACGGTTTGAAAGTATTAGCCCCCCCCCCCGTACTGTTTTTTACACAGGATTCCCTGGAGTTGGGTTTTTTCGCTGAGGCGCCGGCCTCATTTTCGGGCCCCGCTCGTTCCGAATCGTGCTCCCGCTGCAGCGCTGGCCTCATTTCCGTGCCTCCGCTCGTTCCGAATCGTGCTCCCGCTGCAGCGCTGGCCTCATTTCCGCGCTTCCGCTCGTTTCGACTCGTGCTCCCGCTGCAGCGCTGGCGTCATTTCCCGTGCCATGCCACGGCATGCAATGCAATGCTAGGTTGATGCTACGCTTTGCGGTGCTCTTCTACGCCATGCCATGCCGTGCTCTACAATGCATCGCGTACCCTTTCGGGATCATTGCCCTGCTCGACATCCGACTGTGCGAGTAGAGAGGGGATCTACGCCATGGTAATGGATGGGAGGGAGGGGTAGGATGTCAGATATGACGCGAGCGCACCTAGCTTGCCCCTTCCCCCTCCCCCCTCCCCCCTCCTCCCCCCCTCCCCCTCCCCCTCCCTCCTCCCTCCTCCCTCCTTCCCCCTCCCTCCTCCCTCCTCCCTCCCCCCTCCTTAGCCGAAGGGATCGGAGCAGGGAGCAGGCCTGTCGGTCGGTCGGTCGGTCGAGCTGCGCGTGGCCTGTTCACGAGTCCATCGAGGCGGGGCGGCCGCGGGGCGCACTCGAGGCCCCCCTTTCCCGAACGATCGAATCGAGATCAAGCTGGCTGCGGCCAGTTCCGCCACCGCGCCAGCGCGCCACTCTGCGTGGCGACGTTTCGAGCACCGCCCAGAACGCCGCGTGCTCGCCTCTCGCCTCTCGCCTCTGCTCTTTGAGGGGCTCACACGGGGCATGCTGGGGCTGCCTTGGTGCTGTTTCGGTCTTCTGGCGTGGGCAGGCTCTGGGCCCGCTCGGGGCCTGTTTCAGCCGCCTTTTGGCCCTCGGGGGCCGCCTTGGCCCGCGGCCGTCCGTGGGGTCTCTTGGGGCTGCCTTGGAGGCCTCTTGGGCCCCTCCTGGGCCATCTTGACGCCCGCTTGGGTCGTCTTGCGGCGATCTTAGGGGCCGTCCTAGGCCCAGGAAGCCCTGCAACACCGTGGAACATCCGCTGGTTGTTACAGTCAAGCCGCATAGTAAGGATGGACACCCTTCCCCATGGTACTCTTGCATCCTTGCCTCCTCGGTCCATCTTTGGCCACTTTCGTTGACCGCACCCCGCTCGAAAAGCTTCGAAACGGCCTTCCAAGACCCTTGCATCCTTATCGTGCAACCTTATGATGATACGGGTCACCTGTAAACGATGTCGGCTCTCTTGGGTAGCCTATTGGCGCCCCCTCTGGTGTGCTTGAAGCCTCGTCTGAGGTAGTCTTGCGGTCTGTTGGGCGCCGATTGGGACAATGTTGGGCCATTGTGGCGGCCTTGGATGCTTTCCTCAGCCGCCATTGGAATCTCGGTGTGCCTTGGACATTGCCATGGAGGCGTCGGGGACCTCCATGAGGCTTTGGGAGGCGTGAGGTGTGGAAGCGCGTGGGTCGGCGGCGAGCGAGGGGTGGAAGAGAGAATGAGAAGGCCTTCTCAGAAGGTTCGGAAGTCCCCAAGCCTTCTGAGAAGTTTTCAAAGCCTCCCCCGACGACAGCAAAAAAAACTTCTCAGAAGGCGCGAGGGCTTCTGAGAAGTCCCGCCGCCTTCTGAGAAGGCCTTCTCCTTCTCATTTCCCCCGTCGCTCGCCGCCGACTGGGTGTGGCCAGGAGGCGGCGGGGCGGCCCGTGGAAGTCTTGCAGAACTCTTGCCTTGGCAGCTCTCGGCTTCTTGCCACGCCTCGGCGAGCCAGGGGCGCGCTTGTCCTCAAAATCGCTGGGGGCGCTTTTCCCCGTTTTCGAGATCGACGTTTTTTTAATATTTCAGGAGGAAAGCAATAGACACTATCAATCGTCGATCCCCAGGAAGACAGGAAAATACGCCAAGTGGGGGGGCAGACGAAAACCCAGAACATACATTAAACTATGGGGGATCCCGGGATTCGTGTCTATCTATGTGTGTGTGTGTGTGTGTGTGTGTGTGTGTGTGTGTCACTTGGCCCCCTCATTCTGCCACGCCTCAGCGAGCCAGGAGCGCGCTTGCCTCCCAAAAAACACCGGGGGCGTTGTTCCCCGTGTTCAGGATCGACGCTCTTCTGTGCCTGCGGACTGCCGGCTCGCTGCGCTTCCGGCTCGTCCTGCGATCCGTTGGGCAGGTGGCGACGCAGTGGCGGGCGGGCTGCAGGCCTCAGGCATTCCGCATGCCGGGCACAGTTTCGAGAGATGTTGTGCCTGTGCGGGAGGCAAGAGAGGAGCGGCGGCAGGAGGGCACAAAATCCAAGGAGCTGACGCCTGAGCGAGAGGACCGGCCAGGCCGCACAAGCGCAGTGACACATGCTGCACACAACCACCACACACGAGAGAGGTGTCGACTGGGCGCGTCGAGCACAGCGGTTGCTGCTCGCTTCACCTCGTCTACGGCCTCTTCTGTTGGAAGGTCAGCGAGGGGGATCCAGAACTGCACCCGACCCCGCCACAGAATTGAGCCAAAGGTCGAGGGGGGGCAGGGGAGAGGAGGAGATAGAACCAAGGGTCGAGGAGGGGACAGGGGAGAGAAGAGGAGGAGGAGGAGGAGGAGGAGGAGGAGGAGGAGGAGGAAACGCAGGCGGAGGCGAGGAGGAGGAGCAGGAGGAGGAGGAGGAGGAGCAGGAGGAGGAGGAGGAGAGCAGGAGGCGATGAGGTGGGAGTCACCTCCTCCCCCTCCCTCCGACGCCCTATCCCCCCTTGTCGCCTCGTCGCTGTTTTAAGGGCCTCGAGGCCGTTAGCAGGGTGATCATGCAGCAGCGCGGGCACTGCTTATGCACAACATCCCTATTGGACATAGGTCCAAACTTGAGCGCGAGCGCGGGCATAATGCGGCCAACAGCCGAGACGAAGGCAGCGGGCCTGGATCATAAGTCGTGTCCTCGCCGGCACCGTGCCAGACTTGCTGCCCAGGCCCGCTGCCTCGCCATGGTTCCGCAGGCGGCATCTGTACACCACCACAGTGCCTGGCGAGGGCCATCCTGGGCCCCGCGACGGTGCCATGGACATGGACATGCCCCGAGGTGGAGGAGGAGGAGGAGAAGCACGAGGAGGAGGAGGAAGGAGGAGGAGGAGGAGTTGAGGAGGAGGAGGAGGAGGAGGAGGAGGAGGAGGAGGAGGAGGAGGGCTCAGGGTGGCCCCCGGTCAAGCACGGCGGTGGTGCACAGATGCCCTCCGCGCGCGCCCCCACCCCTCGAGGCGCTCCCTCCTCGAGGCGAGGGGCGCCGCTGGCGCGCCGGCGCCCCACCCCCCCCCGCCCCCCGCCCGCCGCTGGCTCCCCGCCGCCGCGCCGCGGCCGCCCAGGTGTGGCCGAAGTGACCCCCTGGTCGGGGCGCCTCTACCGGGCTGCGCGGTCGCGCGAGGGCCCCGGTTGGGGCAGCGCGCGGCGGCGCGCGTCGCCCTCCTCTGCCCTCCTCCTCCCTCCTCCCTACTCCCTCCTCCCTCCTCCCTCCTCCTCCTCCTCCTCCTCCTCCTCCTCCTCCTCTTCCTCCTCCTCCTCCTCCCTCAAGCGCTTTTGGCTCGAGTCTGTTTTTCGGCAGTCTCGTCCATCATTCCCAGGGCTGTACCAATTTGGTGCTCGCATGAGAGCCACCGACCCCCAGGTCGGTGGTTAACGCTGGGACACGATCAAGCTACTGCCGCCATGGCGCCTGCCGCCCCGCACACCAGCTACTCAGCCAGTGGATGGGGACAAGTACCGTGTTGGCCTCAGCACTTTCATGACGTGCAAGGAGGACAGCAGCCGCAAGCACCTTCGGGCGGCAAGTGGCATTGTCCTTCGTGTGGATGCAAGAAGAACAAAGCAGCCTGGCAGCAATGTAAGGTCTGCTGGGCGCGGAGGCCCACTCCGAACATCGGACCACCTCGCCCCCCCGGCGGGGTATGGGCCAACCCCATGGCGCCTGGGCATTGGGCAGTGCCTGCTGCTGGGTAAGCTCATTTTCCCGTTCGTCCTGGTCCTCTGTTCATGCCTGGCGGTGGTCAGAATGGGCAGCAGCAACAGGGTGGACAACATCGCGTCGGAGCTGGTCATGCTGGGGGTGCCGCCGCCAACACCCCCGAGGGTGAGCTCAAGGTGCTCAAGCAGCTGGAGGACCAGCTCAAAGCGGTCGGGGACACTGACGGCGCTGCCAAGTACCGCGATCTGGCGATCGCAAAGGAGGCCGAGATCGCCAGCCAGCGGCCAGATCTCCCGCTGCAGGTGCAGGTCAACCGGGCTTTCCACGACATGCGCGCGCTGCAGGGGCGACTGTCTAAGGCGGCCAACACCTTCGAGGCGACGGCTGCGCAGCTCGAGGAGCACAGGGGCCGCGTCGCGTCCCTGTCCGCGGAGCTCCGCGGTGCTGAGAAGAAACACAAGGAGCTGGTTGATGAGTTGCATTCTTCGGTGGCTCCCAAGCCGCCAGTGCCTCCAAGTGCTGCCCATGGGCTTTCGATCGAGTCCATATTGGCGGGGGAGGGCATCAACGTTAAGTTCGCGAACCTCGACGCGTCGGCGTACGATCTCACGGCGGAGGATCGTCTGCAGGCCGAGCTGCAGAAGACCGTCAAGGCTATGTTTGGCTCTGCCACGGAGAAGTTCCAGCAGCTGGAAAAGAGGCAGAAGGAGGAAGTGGCCCGTCTGGCGGGTAAACGTCGCAAGGGAGCTGCTGGCGTCGGTCTGGTCGGGGGCCCTGTGGCGTCTGCCGAGGCGTGCGGTGGCACTGCTGCCCCTGCCGATGGTGTTCTCGACGCTCCTGGTCCTGCCGGCCTTCCTGCTGGTAGTGGTGACGATGTTGATGGTGATGCTCGTCTCGACGGACCAGAAGGTGCGCCAGCCACTGAGCGGAGTGATTTGCTTGCGCGTGCGCAGGCCATTGCGAGTCAGGCGACAGCGCCTCTGGCTCCAGTGGCCTCTCCTTCTACTCCTGCTGGGGCTACCCCAACTCCTATTTAATATTTGGGCTGTCCAGGCCGAGAAGGGATACGGTATCTCCCCACGCCTGGGCCCTGATTTGCTTGGCTCCAAATTCGTGCTCCAGGGACTTCTTTTTCGAGCGGTTCGACACACCCTGGCCAGGGCCGACCTGATCGTGTCCCTCAGGGTTTCTCCGAGCCCCTTTATAGAGCGCCCTTGAGAGCCCTGCCGAGGCCAGAGGATGCAGTCTCCTCTCTGGACTCGGATTGTGTGCCCAGGAGTTTGGCTTTGACTGAGCCCATTCATGTTTCGTCGTTTCCCACGGACAGTTGTTGCCCGATCATCGAGACCTGTAACGTGTCAGGATGGGGGTCGGGCCAGGCGTGGTTGGAGAAGACTTACTTCTACGACTGGACCTGGCGGTGGGCCGTCGGGGGGCGCAGCCATTCTGGTGCGCAGCGTTTTTGGGCTACGTGGTCCTCTGTCTGGCCACGAAGTTGCGCGGGCTCGGGCCGTCGCTGCCATTGTCGAGCTTCCTGGTGCTGGGCCCCTCCTCATGATCTCGGCGTATTTCCACGATTGCGAGGACCGTTCGGACCGAAACCTCGCTCTGCTCTCGGACACCTGCTCTCTGGGGGACGCCCTGCGGTTGGAGTTTTTCTGTCGAGGGCGATTGCAACATGGAACCTGTCACGGCGTTGGGGTCGGGGGCTCAGGAGGCCAAAAACTTGCCCCTCTTGGTCACGGGGGAGCACGCCTGTCGATCCTCTGCTGGCCTCACGCAGTTTGATTTGTTCTTGGCTAGTGCGGGGATTTCAAAAGGGGTCGCTGCTGTCACGGCCGTGCGAGAGTCTTGCCTGTCCCCGCACTGCCCTGTGCATGTGAAGCCGCACCCTCAGGTGGGGAGATTGAAGTCTTTGGCCTTTCGGCAGCCTCCGACTCTCCCCCCGCAGGCGGTCCCCCCTGTGCTCGTTGTCGGTTATGTTCCCCACGCCCGTGCCCTCCCTGGGGTGCTCGAGGGATGCCAAGGAGCTCCGGGGAGTGGGGATTTTTTCGGGGGCCCAGGGGAGTCTGGATAGGGCTTACAGGCTCTGGGCCGACGTTGCGGAAAAGGAAGTGGCTGCGGCCACGGGAGTCTCGCTCTCGAGGTTAGGCATGAGGGGGCCACCCCCTGAGTTGGTTTGGAAGCCCATCTTGTCCAGCCCCCCCCCCCCCCCCCCCGAGCCCGAGGCGTCAGATTTTTTGCGTGTAGATGGCTCGGTGGAATATCCGGTGACTGTTTAGGACTGTGGATTGCTGAGGGCGAGAAGGGCCTGTGCAGGATCTTGGTCTCCCTGCGGCAGGCCCCCGTTCATCTTGTAGGGGCCCATATTATTTGAAGGATAGGCTGGAAGCTTTCCTCCTGGATATGCCCATGTACGAGACGGCCTCGGAGCCGTGGCTGGCCATGTTCCATTCGTTGCACTCTGACTTCCAGGCGGCGCTGGCTGCGCTGGGGGCTCAGGCTTGAAAGGAGGGGGCGAGGAGTTCCAGGGAGTGCATCCTCTATAGGCGGGACAGGGGGGCCAGGAGAGTGCACATGGTGGCCAAAGGGGCCACCAAGTGGCACCCTACCACTACCCTGCCCACGGATAAGGAAATTGTCTGTGATCCTCTTTCGCTCCTCCAGGCCGAGAGTAGAAAGTTCGCTGATATTTGGGGGGATGGGACGAGTCTGGATTAGTTCTCCCATGAGGTTTTGGACGAGGAGCTCCCTCTTGTGCTTGTCGAGGCGGTCCGAACTTTCTCGAAAGGTTTTCAAGATGACGCCTCGGTTGTTACGGACGGGTTCCACATGCGGCATTTTAGCATGATGAGTGATCATACCTTGGAAGGTATGGTTCGCATTTTCGTTGTCATGGAAATGGCTGCCTTTCTGCCCAGTCAGGTTGCCATTGCTCTGCTCGCGTGAATCCCCAAAGCGACGGTCGGGTTTCGGCCTATAGGCACTTCTTGTGCGTTGCATCGGGCCTATGGCCGTGTCCGCCGCCCCCTGTGCAAGCAGTGGGATCACGCCCACCCTCGGGAGTACTTCGCGGCGGGGCCTTTTGAGGGGGCCCAGGACGGGGTTTGGCGCCAGTCTCTTCGTGCCGAATCCAGCGTCATGGATAAAGGTCAGGCGGCCACGGTTTTGCTCGATCTGCACAAGTATTATGAAACGACCGGCCTTCGGAAGCAGTTGTTTAGGTGCAAGCAGTTCGAGCTTCCATCGGCGATTGCTAGAGTTGCTATCTGCATGTATTTGCAGAGCAGGTGGTTCAGACTGGCGGGGTTCACGGATGGGCCCTTCCGGGCCGCGAGCGGCGTCATCGCGGGTTGCGGATTCGCCACCACTCTGATTCGAGTGTATGCCACCGGCCCTCTGGACCGTCTGGTGCTGCCGAGGTGCATTTCATGCTGTGCATTGACGATGCTGGATTGTCTGCCACTGGATCGACGGGGTACATTCTCGCCCACCCCCCTCCTGCCGCGAGATCCTTGCACCGGATTCTCTCGGGGGATGTCGGCGCGATTGTATCTGACGATCCTGGCAAACTGTCCCTCGTTGCTTCCTCTAAGCTGCTGGGGCAGAAGCTCGGCGCGCGCCTCGGGGGCTTGGCTGGCCCGCTTGTGCTTAGCGCTGCCAACTTAGGTGTTGGCGATGTTGCAGGCAAGCCGCGCCGACGACAGGGTAGGTCCAGCAAAGCTAAGTCCAGGGGGAAGAAGGCGAGGGCTTTTTGTGGGAGGCTCGCCCGCCTTCGCCCGATTGTTGGGAGCCGTGTTGCTCGTCGGGTTTTTGCTTCGGGATCCATGGCCAGTAACTTGTTTGGGGCCGACATCCACGGGGCCACGGATTTCGAGCTGTTGAATTTCCGTCGGCAGGCGGCTGCTGTGCTTCAACCGTCGGCCAAGGGCCGATCTCTCACGTGTTTGCGCCTGGCACACCAGGAGCCATGCTGGCTTGCGGCGGTGACGCCGATTGTCCGATGGGCCAAGGAAGTTTGGATGTCCCACCACGCTTTGTATTATTTTGCTGTCCCTCTTCCCGAGCTCAGAGAAGCTTGGGGGGCGGGGTTCCGTGGGGGGCCGGGCCTCTGGAACAACGTTTCGGGCCCTGCCCCTGCCTTGCGGAAATCGCGCAAGAGAATTTCTTGGCCCATGGATTCTTTTGCTGCCATCACGACAGACCAAGGCGATAAGATTGTGCTGACTTCAGTCCCGCCTCAGCTTCTCAAAACACTTTTAAAGAAGGCTGTGATCAGGGGTTTGGAGTGGGACCTGGGGGCCAAACATGGTTTACCTGGGAGGGCTTGCGTCGATGGAGTTTTGCGTTGGCCCCAGAGCTCTCGACCCACTCCCTTCCAAAAGGGATGTGTGCAGGCCCTGCTTTGTGGCGCCATTTACACTAAGCAGCGCGCAGCTGACTGAGGTTATATCCTCTCCTGCGTGCTGTGCCCGCTGTGCTTCGACGCTGCAGACACACTTAGGCATCGATTGCGGCAGTGCGAGGCTGTGAAGGCCGAGAGGGATGACTTGGTTAAGGTCAAGGTGAGGAGGTGGGTGGAGGAGGCGGACGACGCCCTCGCGTGCTTCGGCGTCTTCTTGCACCCATCGGAGATTTTCCCTCGGCCTTTGCAGTCGGGAGGTACAGATATTGAGTGGGTCAATAGGCCGAGTGTTGACGTCACCCTGGACAATGCTTTCTCAGGAGATGTCTTCACGGACGGATCACGTAGTGAGAATATTGTTTCCGAGTTGGACAGAGCGGGTTGGGCCTTCTCCCTCTGGCAGCGTGACACAGGTCTCGAGATTATGTGTGTCCGTGGGCCCGTTTGGCCGCCTAGCCCGCAGACTTCTCAGGCGGCCGAGTTTCACGCTTATTACATAGCGCTGCAATGGTCTACTGGTCCGTGCGAGTTGTTTGTGGATTGCAAGGCCTGCGTAGACTTCCATGGTCTGCCGTGGGCCGAGCAGTGCTCCCCCGAGCGTGCATACGCTGGGGTTGCTCAGTTTTGCAGGTCTTTCTCCCAGCAGTGCAGTGTGCACAAAGTTAAGGCTCATCTCGACGTGGACGGGACCGAAGGTAGCTGGGAGCGCTACCTGCGCGAAGGTAACCACGCTGTGGATATTTCGGCCAAGAGGGCCCTGTTGTTGCATCCACAGCTTGACGTGGCGCAGGTGGAAGACTTGGAGCGTGCTGTGGCGGTGGCAAGGGCTGTGGGGCTCCTTGCTGCGAAGTTGATGCCGCCGTGGCCTCGCCTGGATCTCGGCTCGAGTGTGGAGCGGATCCCTGTACCAGCTCAGAGGAGCGAAGGGCTGGGTCCGAGACATGCTTGGGCTTGGACTGGCAGGTTCTGGCAATGCGCTCGTCGTTTTCGTGGTTCGCGGTCGACCGACTAGCCAACCGCTGGCCTCTGTAAAGGAGGCCCAGGGGTCGGGATTCGTGGCATGGATGCTCCTGCGTTCGCGAGTTTGGGGCACAGTATGCTGCTTCTCGACGCCAGCGACATTAGTTTTGTTTTCATCTCTCTGAGGTGCAAGAACTACACTGGCGGTGGCCAAGTGCGTGGATTGCGCCAGCAGTGCTCGCCCCTCCCCGCTGTCGGGGCTCAGGGTCGCAGATACGCTTGGAAGCTTATTTGTGCGGGGGCCCACCCTAAGAGGAGCGGGGTCACGGTCTCCTTGGTGTAGGAGGAGGAGGAGGAGGAGGAGGAGGAGGAGGAGGAGGAGGAGGAGGAGGAGGTTCCCGCTCCCTCGGTTGAGCCTCCCCCCTCTCGGCCTCGGAGGTGGAGGATGCACGCGAGCTGCGCAGGGCAACCGTGGCCCAGCGCTTGCTCGATGCCGCGAGCTCGAGTGCATTGCGGTCGAGCTCCAGTTGATCGTGCTCGTTGC